TCTATATTTTCAGGTGATTAATCACATTTATTATGGATTTAATTAATTCTCTTATTGCTCATTTTTATTACTTAAGTTGTGGAATCAGTATTGTGAATATTTTAAACAAAAACATTCGGTGATTCTACAGTTTAGAAAATATTTGCAATGATTGAGTATTGTACTGTAACGAAAAAAAATGTAGATTAGTTTTTAACCAATATCAACCTTTATTTTGAGTTTTCAACAATTTAGAATAGGCATCGTCATGCAATGACCATATAGGAATACAAAAAAGAAAATTTTTTTAATATGTAATATCAAAACATGAAACAATTACAATTTATTAGGAGGAGCAAATGAAACGACGAATAATAATATCCGATATACAATGATTATTCAACATTTTTCTTTATATCTTTTCCTCTTTATTGTTCCTTCTAGCAAATAATAATCGAAGTATCTTTTGATGTAATGTACAAAGAAGTTTTTAATAAGAACCTATATATATGTATGAGTGTGTTGCAAGTTTCTGGTACGATTGGCGAGAAAAATGAAAGTATACCTAAACAATTATTAAGTAATGCATTTTATTACACTACATGCTTATATCATACAAGAAGGATTTCCTATATTTTCTTGCATACTGAAGATAATATAAGATACTTCTGTTAAAATATGCTTCAATAAGAATAAAATAACTTTAGCCAATGAAATGAGCCGAATGGTTTAACTTAAAGCTCATTTTGATCTACTTTTGACAGATCCCACATGTGGATTGCAGAATCGAGAGAGGATGGGATTAGGAGTTCAGAAGGCAACCAAAATTAGGATGTGGGTGTAGTTTTCAGCAATATCGACACTAACACCCACATCGAATTCTTAAGAAAAAAGGAAAAGGAGAATTCTTGAAATATAGAACGAATGAAAGTCTCGACATTCATAGAATCATTGTTTGCATTTGTATTCGCAATTTTTATTCCTTTTTTTTTGGTAAATAAAATGAAACATTAGGATAATATCTATCAAAAACCTAAAACATTTCTTAAACAACATAAATATTTCTATTGAAGATATGATTTTGATGATAGTAATACATTTACTTTTCCTTCCTGTGCCTTTACCATCATCAACAACTACAAGTTTCGAACAGTTTGGTCTCAAACTTTATTCAACTGTTAGTCAAAATAAGAAGAATGAAAATATATTTCTTTCACCAGCAAGTATTTCTCTTGCGATGTCAATGTGCACAGATGATGCTCGACAAGAAACGTTAAATCAAATGTTAAAAACATTTGAAGTATCATCTACAAAACAATTAATAAAAACAGCTGAACAAATTATACATATCTTTTCTATTGCTAATCAAGATAAACAAATTCAACTTAAATTAGCTAATCATCTTTATGCACAAAAAGCATATCAACTTCAAGAAGAATATTTAAAAATTGTTCAAAATTCATTTAAAGCAGATATTAAACAGAAAGATTTTGAAAATGAAGGTGCTCAAGCTGTTCAAAGAATTAACACATGGGTTGAACAGCAAACAAATAATTTAATTCGAAATCTACTTTCAATAAAAGACGTGACATTTGAGACAAAATTAATAATTATTAATAGTATTTATTTTAAGGTAAATATTAATTTTAATGAAACAAAAATAATTTGTTTCTATTAATTGAAATTTAACAAATGAAAATGCTGATTTTCATGAAGCGAATGGTAAAATTTCTAATGTAGCATTAATGCATCAACGAGAAAAATTTGCTTATGCTGAGAATAATGATTTACGTGTACAAATTGTTCATGTATCATATAAAAGTGAAGATAAAGACACTGAATTTGTTTTTACGGTGATTTTACCTAATCGAGGAGTTCAATTAGATGTTGTGGAACAAAAATTAGCATCACAACCTAATTTAATGCAAATCAAGTGATATTCTTCAACAACTTGGAATGAAAGATGCATTTAGTAGTTATAAAGCAAATTTTACAGGTATCGTTAACGAAAAAAAATGATAGAGATCGTTTATACATTAGCAAAGTAAATCATTTATTGATAAGAAAATGTTAATTAGCGTAATATTTTAGGTTATTCACAAAGCGTTTATTGATGTAAACGAAGAAGGTTAGTTTGTTTTTTTCTTTTTGAAAAGTAGTCTGTTTGATAAAAGTAATGTATTATCTTAATTGTGAAGTTTCTGAAGGAACAAGAGTAATGATGAGACGAAAAACAAAATGTTTGAAAAATAATGAATGTGGCGATTAAGTTTAAAGCTAATTGATCATTTTTGTTTTTCACTGAGAAAAAACAGTAAAATATGGTTTTATATTTCTTAACAATTTTTCTTCGAGTTTCTCGTTGAAAAATTAAAAACTGCTCATATAAATGAGTATGTAACACACTGGAAATATTTTTCTTACAGAGTTCTGAATGGAATGGAATGAGATGAAAATAATTGTTGCATGAAACAAACTGGTTTGTTCCACTGCATTCCATGGGATTCTTTTCGTTTCTCTCTATCAGTTCATTTTTAGATCACTTTATTTAACATTTAATTTTTTATACTAAAACGATTCTCAGAAGAAGGAAAAGCCAAAAACTAAACATCTCTAAAATAAAAATGTTCTTGCAACGTTTCTGCAACTGCAACAGTTTCTATTTCTCAATTATTTGGAGCTACATGGACCAAATTTCAACAAAATAATACACCAAAATGTAGCGCATTAAAAGCTCT